GCTCTCCCCTAGAAGCAGGGGGCAGCCGGCCTGGTTTTTTGGCAAAGGCCAGCATTCTTGTCAATTTCACTGCTCCACCATGGAGGGGTGGAATTGTCAAGACAGCTAAAATGGATGGATGTGACAAATGTCTACACGGACACTGCCTTGTTCTAAATACACAGACCTAAGCCCTGCACCTCTCATGGAGGCGCAATTCCTGTGTCCCTGTAGTATGGTACCTACATCAGGGGGACAAGGCATATAGTGTGTCTAAGTTAAGCTGCCTTGACAATGTAACTGTGTAATGTAGACCAGGCCTCAGACCCTGTTGATTAAGGCACTCAGAGGTTCTCCAGTTACCACTTTGTCCACTGAGCCTCAGCTGGGATATCTAACATTAAACTCTCTGCTGATACTTTGTCCCCTTATCTAGGGGGAAAAAACTACAGTTCTTGAAAGCTCAGTTAGATTCTGGCAGAATTATGCTTTTGCAGTCAGCCCTAAACCAGTTACAGTAAAAAACCATTTTCTATTGTGTAAACACTCCACTGAGAGACCAATACACCTGGTATTTGATTTCTCTCTAATGTTTCCATGAGTCATTAATTTCCCACTTCAAAATTGGCCATGACAAATTTCCAGCTAGTAACATACTGTGTTTACATCCAAAAGCAAAGGCAAAACACACCCTCCTTCACGCACTCCACAGTCTATGCAACTCATGGCTTGATCCAACACCCATCTCCAAAAGCAGGACCATAGGGAGAGGTAACAGATAATCAGACTGCAACTCCAAGCATTTCATCACTGGTACACAAATCAGTTATGGGGAAAGAGAGCAGGAGGCAAAAGCATGTGATTTTGCCTACTGCTATCTTCTGGCATTTTACCTGCTGGTGCCATGTCCTCAGTGGTCAGGAAACTCTTGGCTACCACTGGATTCAATTCCTCAAGGCAAGGTGTTCTGCATGTTGACTCAGTTATATGATTGGGTTTCTTATAGCCTGGACAGAGTATTAAAATATGGGTTCCTCATGTGAGGCTCTTACATCCTTTTTAAGTGCTTAAATCAATTGTCTTGTTTCCTAAAGTGCTGCACACCCAGCAGCTTTCATTGAAACATTCCCACCAGGCATTCTTCCTGCCGCATGTACAGCCACAATTTTTTTCCGCCTCGTAGAGGAGTTCAACCTGTTTACCACCCAAAAATAACAAGAGAAAGAGGAAAGGTGCCAGAACTGAAGATTGTATAGCCACTGCCAATGTTCCCAATATCAGAAACAGTATTTATAGAAATATCATGAGAATTATCTTTGCTTTCACCCTAGCTTTACAAAGCTGATGCTCTTTACATGTAGTTTTCAAGGGTGGATGGACAGGATGATATAACTAATATGGATTAGGCACTGCTATACAGCTGAGAGTGCTCCCATACAGACTGACCCCGATGGGGGCATGCTGAGGGAGCTGAGAAAACTGGATTGGTACAGAGACAGACAGAGCACTGGCTGTGAAGAAGCTCATGTGATCTCATATAATCACCATACAATGTCGATGGTGTTATAAACAAGATTTTATACCAAGTATTCATTTTATTGCTTCAGAGACTAGAAGTCTGTTCATATAAGTGAGAGGTTGCATCTGTATATTAAGCGATGGGCCTGAACTATTAAGTATGTGGATGCTTTCTTTTGCTCAACCCATTTATAGAGACCAGCTACACAGTTGAGATCCAGATCCAAAGTTGAGAAATGATCAGATTTAGAAGGTTTGGGTTAGTCCCATTTCTATTTTAAATACCTCCTTCAGCCATGCCAAGTTAACACTGATGAGTTTTTGCCCAAGATCCAGCAGCAGTTTCCCTGCATACCACACAAGTGACAGTTGAAGCAATGAATAGAGAGTACTTTGGCTGCAAAGTGTAAGTAAATCTTGGCTGCACATTATGTTTCCTTCTTCCACGCTCCAGAACAAGAGATGTTATCGCTAGATTAGGACTTTGGAAAAGGGCAAGAAAGCTCTGGTGGCTGGGTGGGTGGGTGTTTCCTTCTTCCACGCTCCAGAACAAGAGATGTTATCGCTAGATTAGGACTTTGGAAAAGGGCAAGAAAGCTCTGGTGGGTGGGTGGGTGGGTGGGTGATAGGATGGTTTTACCTCCTAGCTGAATTCTCCACTTTCAACTTCAGAGGAAAGATGGGCTCTCCAGGATCAGAATCTGATCCAATATTTACAGAAAGAATTGGGATTTTCTAACACCTTCCACGATAGTACTGAGATGTCTGCATTTTCATCTCTTGTTTTGTCACATCTATTTTCCTTTTCACTCTTACACCACTCTAACATAAAGCAGTTCCCACGGTCTTTGGAAACCACAAAAAAAAAGTTCATATGAATGACCCCGGATAATAATAGTAGAAAGTAGAAGGGCAAACACCTTGTACATTTCTGGCCATCTTGGGAATCAAGACTGCTTTTATTTTGAGAGAGAGATGACATCATAATGGCTTACAAGTTGTGATGTCAGATGCTTTTGACATCATAAAAAAAACCTCTTAGCAACCACTTAAGCACACCCCTGGCCATTTTGTGATGGGGATTGATCTCCCTTGATTGGCAAAGCAAGAGCTCTATCTACTGAACTCTTAATTCCTCAGCTCAAACAAACTCTTAGCTCAAAATCTTCAGGATTAGTTTGAAAGTCCCTCCCCTCCCCCAGTCCTAAAGCCCAGAAGGCAAGCAAAGAGATAACAAGTTGTCTGAGAGCATTTCAGAAGCATCCTGACAACTAAAGCAGGATGGGTGACTGGAAGAGCTACATCAATACTGTGCTAAAGGACAAGAACATTGAAGACGTAGCTATCGTGGGTCACAGTGACAACAAGTCAGTGTGGGCGTCCAAGCCAGGGGGCCTACTGGCTGCTATCTCACCCCAGGAAGTGGG